TTCCTGGCTCTGATCGCCATTGGAGGATCCATCTCCATTCCTTCCGCTGTAGTCCAGCAAAGGCTCCTTGGTGGTGCCTTTGCCACCGTTGTGCCAAACACGCATCTGTTTCTCCCTAGGCTTCTGAGGCTTTGGAGATTTACTGTGAGCAGGATGACAGAATATTAGCTCATTAAAAAAGAAGCAATAAGATTCATTTTTAACTAGGTGACTGACATAATCTCCTAGCTATTGAACAATGTTTCTGGCTCTATGGAAGGCAAGCAAAGCAATAACAAGGTAGGTAACATGCATTTTCTTTCTCCTGACACAATCATAAATATCATAAGTACTTGTCTATCATAAATAGAAATCCCTCAGGATTATAAAAGACCCCCATCACCCCAGCCACAAACTGTTCAGTCTGCTGCTGTCTGGCAGGCGTTACCGCAGCATCCGGACAAAAACAACCAGATTCAGAGACAGCTTCATCCCGCAGGCAATAAGACTGTTAAACAACTGAACTGCTGAAACAATTTCATAACATTCATCTGCTACTTAGTAATTATTTATCTATTATCTAATATATCATTCCAATAACTTGTCTATAGACTCGTATTGCACTATTCCACGTTTTTTTCTCACTTTTTTAAAACTAATTTTCTTTTTTGTATTACTTTTAATATAATATACTTTAATATTGTTTTAATATTGTCTGCTTATCTGTATTATTGTGTTGCATTGTTGGAGAAGCCTGTGACCTAAGATTTTCAACGACATAATTACTCTGTAGCTATGTTAGTTTGACAATAAAGAACCTTGAACCTATTAAAGTTAAGGAGTGTCCCTTTTAATAATACATTTTGGGATCAATACTTTTCATATTGCTGAAATGGAACTGACACAGACTTAATACACTGCTGTTGGCAAGTCTGCAAAGCACATTAAATGATACTATATCTTGCTTGATATTTATGAATGTATTTTCTCTTACATGGGTTTTTCAGTAGGTACGGCTGTGCGCTTGCGAAATAACTTCTCCCTGTTCTGCATGATCTCCTCAGAAGTCAAGCCCTGATCACCATTTTCAACCGTCTTCTGCCCAGCCTTAGCTGGATCCACTTTGACAGGCTCAGCTGCAGGAGCTGGAAAAGATTGTTATAACAAAATAAGTCAGCAGTGAGATTTCATTCATGTCAATTTTTGTTAGGACAACAAAGCCTTCTGAAATCACTTACCCTCCTTTTTGGCATTTTTATTCTTCTTGCCACCCTGTTCCTTGACTTTTTCCCCACCCTTGGTCTCAATCATTGACTTCACAGTTTTTTGGGATTTCTCGGACTGAACAAAGGTCCGCATGTTGCCCTGGCTCCGAGCTTTGCTGCTCTTCTCCGCATCCCTGGTTGTAAACATGTAATGCATATCAGAATGTGCAAGACAAAGCCATGACTGGCTAATGAAGCATCTTCACCATATTTAAATATACACTTTTGTTTGCCACAGCAGGCACACAATATAAATTGCAAAAATGTATGTCTTTACCTAAGAAGCATTGAGAAGTCATCTTCAAATCCAAAGTTGTTTTGGATTAGCTTCAAGGGCCCCTTTTGCTCCAGCTCATTCTTATAACGATCCCTAAAATGGAGCTGAACGTCATCTATGAACTTGTCCACATACGTCAGCGTCAGGATCTTTTGAAAACCCACCTGGACAGAGACAAGGGAAAGAGAAGAGTGATCTCACGTATGTAGAACTAAAAACAAAATGAACATATGTTGCAGATTTGAACACCTAAATTGTGTTTTAATGTCGTTTATGTAGTGTAGAGGTGAGAGGCTTACCACAAAAATCAACTCAAACTCATTGTCGAGTTTGTATTTCAGATTCAGGGCCTCATGGGTGTATGAATTGTTCCCACTGCGCTCCTGTAACATAACAAACATCGTTGACATGTCAACAGCAGCTACACACACACACACATCTCGTTTCTACTATAGCTAGCCTGTTGCGTCTCCATAACAACGCTAAATAAGTCTCTCTAGCACTAATTATGTCAACATTCAACTTACGATTCTTTGTTACATGCTGATTATGATATGCACATATGGTGACGGTGACCAGGTGCCAACAAGCCACATGTGCACAGACGTAGTTTAGATTTAAATAACATATGTTGCAGATTAGAAATGTATAGTACGGGTCCCTAGCACATAGAATCTGCCGGATGCCAACTATATGTTGGTCAATAAGAATAAATTGCGTTATTTAGCATGATAGCCTATGTTGACAATAGTTATGAAATGGCTTGGCCGATTTGGACAATTTTGGAGTGTTAATGGTGTTATTTAGGATGCTGGATCCATTTCTGACATTTTCAGGATGGACAATGGCAGTTTTACAACAACATTTCCTGGTTCACAGCTGGCAACCAGAGTAAAAACCGAGTTTTATACGGGCGACTATCGTTCCTATTAAATAAGGGACATGGTCTCAATTTGAAGGATGGGGGACAAATGATGAAAATGCAGTTCAGTCCCACACAAAGCAGGACACCTGGTCACCAAAATATGGTACGTAAGCACACAATCAAAGTAGCTAAACGTTTTAGAACACGAACGTTGCGCAATAAGCTAACGTTTGCTAGCATGAGCATTAGCAGTCCAAGCCATAACAGAGAACTGTCAGAGGGTTTTGAGCAGCCTGTTGTCCCACCTGAAGGATTACGGAGCGGATCAGAGCGTTGACAGGCCCGGTGAAGGATTCGGTGACCCCGGCTCCCTGAAAACACCACAACACTATCCCCCCTTTGCTGAAGATGGTGAAGAAATCTAGCATCTTGCCACCTTGTCTCTGGATCAAAGAAACATATACGGACAAAAAGGGTTAAACAGAAGCTCAGCGATAAATGAGTTGTTAAATGAGTCTTTACAGGGCCGGTGTTTGATTGTCAAACAATTACTTCTTACCAGATATCAGTACGATAGATAATAAATCCCCCACGAGTAAAATCCACCACCAGAGCAAAACTGTTTTAGACACGTCAGATGCAGCACTAGGAAGTGACGCGCACTTCCGGTGACGTTTGACCATCGAAGAACACGCATGCGCAGTTTTTTTTGCGAATCGTTAGACGAGGAGAGAGGTTAAACCTTTCCCTCTCATAAAGAAAATCAGAACAGTGCACTAAGAACATTTCAAAAGAAACACATTTAATTAATCGTTTTGCTTTAAATACACATTTCATTACTTATATTTTCCTTCAGGTAAGTATTGCTATTTGCTGCTACTTTCTACTATTCCGTAGCATGCACTATGTATCTTATAGCTGAATAAAATTGTTTCCCTCTCTTTAAAAAAAATCAAGATTGGGTCACACAGGGCTAAATAGCACATTATTCATAATTAAAAAACAGACATCAGGATAATGTGAATATTGTGACAATGACGAAACAGTTGAGCACATTTTTTTGTGTTGCTATGTCCAAGATACCAAGACCGTTTATCACTAAAGAAAGCAAAGCACTGAACAAAAACCATACAGAATTAAATATAATAGAGATTTTGCAAAGGAGTTCAGGGGATGTAACATAGGCTACAGGGCAGTGTTTAGGTTTTTTAAAAAGAACAGGAATTATATTAAGGATTTAGGGTTATACCGGTTATACCGTGCTGACCCACACTCCATTCAAAAAGGTGGCGGTAAATGCAACTTAAAGCTGTAGAAGGAGTAAAACAAACTCAAACCAGTGCACTAAGTTAATTAACAACAACAAAAACATTTAATGTAACATTTAATGTATCATTTGACTTTAAATACACATTTCCTACAGTATTGCTATTTGCTGCTACTTTCTCCTATATTTCAGATGGAAATGTTGTTTATTTTGCCCTAATTTATCTAGCTGATCAAGATTTATTGAAAATACAAAAGATATGATCAGATGTGTACATTAAACTAAACCACAGTAATCCATAAGTAGGCATAGATTAATTAAATTAGTTTTAATAGGCTAAACCATATAGGCTACACGTTATAGTGTACAAACAGCGTCCATTTTTTCTGCATTGAGTAGCCTACTTTTTATTTCAAAATCACACTTTTTGAATATCACTTCCCTTTATTCAACAACCAACATTTCAAGGCAGGACTCCTTTGTAGGTAATACTCTGACAGTATAAATTGATACTGTCACTAAAAACAGGAATACATTCCCCAGTTTTTTCTTGTCTCTGGGAACAGGGACATTTATTTCACTTCTCTTTTACTTTCATGTTGAAATGCTACTGCGGTTTTGATTGAACCAGTTCCTTACACATGGCAGGTTAGAGGACATTAGCCTTTTAACTGAAAGTGAGAAGTGGTTGCTAATGGTGTGCCAGGGGGTACTATTGCAAAGGATGTTTTTTGTAAATCTAATATTATGCCAGCTTGCTTCATACTTCCTTCATTTGACTGCATGACATCATTGCCTCGATTGTATCTAATCTTACACAAAAAAATGTAACCGCAGCAAATGTTCAGCTGTGTGTATGGTGATTGTTTGGTAAATGTCAATGTTCTTGTACTTACACATGTCTTTTTTTGTATCTTTTTCTACAAAACAGAAAGTATTAGGTCAAGATTATAAAATATGTAAATGTAAATAAAACCACAGACACACACTAGACACACACACCCAAACACATACATTGTGGGAGGAAAAGGGATTTGACATTAGCTTCCGTCGTTTTAAGTTGTGGATTACAACGGTTGATGCTGTCCTTCCTCTTAATTCGTGTTAATAGTAATAGAATAATAGTATATTAACATTCACATCACAAACTAGTGTTAATCTAGCTAAGGAAATGTTCTTTTTCTAGAAAATCTGCTATATTAAATTGCTTGCTTTTAAAGAGTTAACTACGTGCTTAATGGAGTATAACGTTTAGCACACTTTGCATTTGCAATTTGAGTGAACATGCTGAGGGTTTTCTTTCAGCAGTAACCAACTTCCTCTTTTCTTTTGGTGATGTCAGTGAAACTCGACAGCCGGTTTCCTCTCTCTTTGTTACTTTCTGTTGCTGTCATTTGATCATTTCACATTGTTGGTACAGTTATCATCTCTGAGTAACGCGTGTATGGGTCAGTGGAAATCTTTTTAAGTAATGACATCTTTAAACAATCTTTTACTGCAAGGATTTTGTGGAGGTATTGAGCATACAGGATGTAGTTAACAACATGCATGGTAAGTTAAGTCATTTATTTCTCATGCAAACGTTATCTTTATCAGTGTAAATACTGTTAAATCTGTAACTTTCTTATGGGTCATTCCAGGATTGGAGGACAATTTAGACATCAAAACTTTTGAAAATGAAATCCCTTTATTTTATAGTTTTCTGTTATGTATTTAAGAAACACAGATAGTAAAGCATAACAATCAATCAGGCATCAAAGTACACCTTTTATTAGATGTTTTATTTGTTGCTTTCATCAGCGCTCAATGGTGTGCTAGAACTCAGGCTAGAACTCAACAGAAATCAATTGTAAGTTTATTGTAGAGAAACATTGTCAGTGCTATGCTAAATTATACATGAAATGTAATTTTAATTAAGGTTGAATTGCACGAAATGCAATTCTGCATTGGATATAATGCCACACTCATTCAAGACTCAAAAGATAAGAACAAATAAACGAGACTTACCTTGGTCTGATGTAATTTCCTCTGTGTCCGCCAAGCTAAAGAGGTTTCTGTGTCAGGATGGCACGCATGTTGTGGGATATACCTTCAGTGTAAAGTTACTGTTATTCAAAATATGTTTATGATTTAACAAATTGCTTTGACCATTACAGGAGACCCATCTCCACAAAATAATAGCAAAATAAGTCAATACAATTTTTTTTAAATGTTATTTTTTTATATATCTAAATGCCATTTTAGGGGGTGCTTGGGAGCTATTAGATATTTTAAATAATATTTTGAAACCACTTATTCTACAACTTTATTTACATTATGTCTAAGGACAAGTATATTTAACACAATAAGTGCATGTTTTAGCATTTTGGGCATGGATTATTTGAAATGTCATAGGTGGGACAGAAAATGTCCTAAATGATCCACATAACTTTTAATTGTAATTGTTATCAGACTTTGTGGTTTTTAAGTGGACTAGGGAGAACTCATGGAAATCAACATATTTTTCTTTCTCGTTTAAGGATGGTTCCGGAAAATCGTTAAATCAAGAGTAACTTCATCAGCACAACATGAACAAGAGGCACATGTGCCAAAAAAGTCAGTGTGTTCTGTCAGCCGTGAATCCTCTTCATCTATATCCCCATGCTGTTCTCTGTCATCATCATCACTGGGGACAGCCCCTTCAAAACCTCAGCAGCCACATTCTGCTCCGAGTTCACGACGATGGAGTCGAGAGTATGACGTGTTTGTGTGTAACAGCTCTTTCCAAAGTGACATTGAGGAGGCTTTCCGCCTGGTCTCTTTCCTGGAGGCTTCTCCCCGCAGTCTAAGGTGCTTTCTTATGCAGAGAGACGCCTGTCCAGGAGGTGCAATTGCCACAGAGTTTTGCCAGGCGATGCAGAACAGCCACTTAAGGGCTCTTCTTATCACTCCAGACTTCTTGCAGGATGGATGGTGCAAGTATATCATGCATCAGGCTCTAGCTGAGGGGCCTATGTCTAATCGGATCATCCCCCTGCTTCAGAACCTGTCCCGCTCTCAGTGTCCTCCGGAAGTGAGGTTCTACTACCAAATTGACCTGAGCAGTAACCCTGAACGAGGTTATACCCTCGTCAACAAGACTGTGCTCAATTGTAAGTAATGTACAACACAACCAACAACTTAACTTTGGGCCAGTAACACAAGGATACATTGAGCCTGGTCTTTGCCCAAAGTTTAACCTCATATCTGTTGAATGTTGTTTTCAACCAACTGTTTCCTCTTGTGAAATATGTGGTTCTTGAAAACTCCCCCCAGCTATTTATTTCATATATGTGGGACGTCAAGTCAGAATCAGAAAGCCTTTATTCGTCCCAAAGCGGGGAAGTTTACGTGGTCACATCAGCAATGTACAGATAAAAGGCCAAAGGAAAAAGAGTACTTACCAATCAAATTAAAAAGATTGGCACATGTTATAAGGAAAAAACAAACAGAGTAAAGTAACATCATTTTAAAAGCAAGTTAAGATATAAAAGTATTGAAAAGGCCGGTAATGGAAGCAGATTATAGAAATACATACAAAAATAAAGCCTACATTTCACATAAGTATTGAACATTAGATGTGGTACTGCATAACCGTTTTTATGTTTACAAAAGTGTTCAAAAGTCAGAAGTACAGAAGTCCTCCTTAATAATCTCATCCTTTTTGTCTTATACAGACCTGGAAAACCTGGATAAAAATCAGAAGACACTGGATTACAGCATGGACAGCTCTAGCAATGGTGCAATAAGCCTCCCCAAAGAAAGAGAAGCTGATACTCAAGTATACGACCCTGCTGGGATGCCAACTGAGAGTGATATAGAAGAAAGATGATTGCTAAAACGTTATAAATAATGGTGACCTAACTAAGGTGCATTGCTCTCAAAGGACAACACTACTGTCAACCTCAGTGACCCTAATAGCACATCATTTTGGGACTTAAAAGAAAGTTGGCCTAATTCTTTTGCTCGTATTTTTTGTGCATAACCAACACTGGGTGTGTGTGTGTGTGGTACGGATGTGCATACAATGAACAGGAAACTGTCGGTTCCAAGCAGCCCTGGGGCGTATTTCCTGTATCAGATCTAGAGAAGTTCTCCCTGGCCTAACATGTGTAGTGGCAATTTCTTATATTACTTTATATGGTAAAACCAAATTATGATATTATACTGAGAAATTGTTAGGTCAGCTCAACCTGTTGTTCACACGGTAGCTTCCTGCCAAGGTCGTACTCGAACAATAAGGCTCTTGTTCCTTATGAGAGCATAGTAAGACAACAGTTAGGAGAAGGTGTTATCTCTTTCCTTTTGCACAGCAACAGTCCTCTATAAATCACACACACACACATTTGCCTCTGTGTCCACTCCTGCAAACCACTTTGTATTTTGCAAGACCTGTACCTACAAGCTTGTATGAAGAACTACTAAGACAACTCTGTTTGCTTTCACCAGTTTATTATTGATTACTCTCATTGTACATCTTTACAGTATTGACGAGGTTAAAATATCCCACAACTGTTCATACAATGAACAGGAAACTGTCGGTTCCAAGCAGCACTGGTGCGTATTTCCTGTATCAGATCTAGAGAAGTTCTCCCTGGCCTAACATGTGTGCAATAAATGTGGTTGATGAGACACATATCGTGGGCATTTGCGTTCACAGTCTCAGCTTGTTACACATAATCAAATTTGGTTACAGCAAGCACCATAAATGCACGAGATGTTCCTTTTAACAGAGTCAAATATGACAGACTAAAGTTACAGTGTTCAAAAAGATTGTACATATAGTGGCTATCCACTAGATGGTGTATTTTCTTTCTTCCACCCAACCAAGTGCAAGTCAGGGTATGCCAGTCATGAAGGTGTGATCTTTCTGGTATAAGTTTCAAGCCTTTTCTTTAATCCACAATGAGAAATATGATGTTGCATGCGTTTGATTGTAAGTGTGAGAGTGAGAGGGAAACACCCAGCCACAACAAAATGCCAGTGGCTTGACCTTTTCATTGAACTGGGACTTTAAGAAATACCAGAGAGAATAAACCTCTACTTATGAACACAGTAAGAGTTCACATCATGTATGGCTCTGGTGTGCTGGTGTTAATATTCTAAGTAGCAGTATTTCTGACTGTGCTCATCTAGTTAAAACAAAGTCTGAACATGTCGAAGAGTTGGAAGGAAAACACTTTAATTTCTTCATCCAAAACCAAAACTCTTGGTGATTGAATGTCCTTGGCAGCACCTGCCCTTTCAATCATAAATCAAGCATATTGGCATGGCTTCATTTCAGGTGGTTGGCATTTGAACCACTTGATGTAGTGGTTGTTGTTTTTTTCTCTTTTTCATCATCTGCCCACATAAAATACATGTTCTTTTTCAGATTTATATTAATGTAGTTTCATCCTCCGCTGCTTATATCCCCCTAAACAACCACATTCAACACCGCAATAAAAAAAAGACCCTTGATAATCTCCTCCTATTCTGCAAGCTAACATTGTATCATATATTTAGACTAATCTCTAAAAGGCACAGATGTTCGAGGCTTTGTTTATGCTATAGCACTCTCTTCCAGATGACACACACACACACACACACACACACACACACACACACACACACACACACACACACACACACACACACACACACACACACACACACACACACACACACACACACACACACACACACACACACACACACACACACACACACACACCGCCAACAGTGGGCTAAAGTCTTGAGCTGCAGAATGCATCCGTAAGCTATGGAGTGAACATGAGGGGAGCATCAGGGCTTGGACAGCAATATTTGGGTTGACACTATTAGGTACCTTTCATATCAAACCCTACAGAGAGAAAAGGAAATATTGTTAGGACAGAAGCCTTGCGGATAAAAAGAAAATAGCTAGGAAGAATAATACAAAACCAAAGAGACACAATAAATATTGTTGAAGCCCAAATGCAGGACTCTGAAAAGATGAAAGTTCACTGCATGGCTGGCTTAAATGTGTAAGAAAGGGATAAAGTTGTCGGATAAGTGGGGATAGGATTAATTAGCATATATATCAATGAAAAGTTGAATAGTAACCATAATGTTTAAACATTTTATACAACTCCTAATGATTGAAAAAGATGAAAAAGGAAAAGTTTGAATGGAGTATGAATCAGAAGATAAAAGTTGAAAATGCAAGAAAAAGCAGCTGAAGCAGTTTTAATAATTAGAAAAGTGTTAAAAAGATGAAAAGTGCTAAATATAGAATGTTAGATTAAAGTATACAACCGAGAATAGAAAAGGGTAAAAACATCCATTGGGTTTTATGTGTGTCAAATTGCACTAATTAGCTAATCACAATAGGCGCGTTCACACCAAGTACTTTTCCCACAGTAGTTCCTGAGAACTTTAGTTCATGAGAGTTCTTTTAGTTCTGACGAACTAAAGCAGATCGCGTTCACACCAAAATGAGTTCCTGGGGGTGGATTAGGCAAATGAGCCGCTGACGTCACTTCTTCTTCTTCTGCTTAGCTTTTCCTGGCAGGCCGCAAACAACTTCACGGCGAGTACAGTAGGTGGCGGTATGCACCTTAAAGTTGCAATCCGCCAAAAAACCGAGAGAAGAAGAAAAAAAACTTCCGCTTCCGCTGTATGCTTCTGTTTACCTTCCGACCTCAGTCAGACACGCTATCATGAGGTTGTTAACATCGCAATTTATCAGTGGATGTTTGCTGGAACTACTTTTTAACAGCGTGTTTCCTGACGGACACACACAGCGTGACTCCGGTCAGGTAGAGACCGGTCTCAAGTCAGCACCGATGCAGACTCGCTGTTTGAGGGCTTGATAGTAGTGATGGGAATTATGGCTCTTTGAAGGGAGCCGGATCTTATGGCTCCGTTCCTTTCAAAGAGCCGTTCAAAAGAGCCGTTCAAAAGAGCCGTTTTTTTAAGGTTACTAGGTTTATCTGCAAAATAATCACCAGGATAATGATTGACTGTATTGCCAGACCTAATGTCAATAATCGGCATTGTAAACATGACACAAGGTGGCGCCATATCCATGTCATCATGTCAGTGAATGTACTTTGAATTTACCCTCTGTATGTGTTAAGTAAATAAAGTTGCCTTGCCTTGAATGAAATTCACGCAACTCTTAATATTAGTAGTGTGTTTTTAAGTGGCGATGGAGATTATTTGTTGATCCTGCTTTAAAGGATATTTTGCCTTTACAAATGGTGCGCTTTATCACTGCCTGGGTTTTGGTTGAAGTGCATCCAAATGCTGCTGCGTTTTCGCGTTTGGCTCATTTTCCATCCGAAAAACACGTTGTCTACCTGTCCTGTACCACTTGTTATGACTTCTCTCTCTCGCGTATTCCGTTAAGACCCACCCCATCTCACTCCTCGTGCTGAAACCTACCAAACAGAGTAGGGGCGGATCTTCACAGAATACGTTTGGGGAACAAAATCAAGCTTTTTAAAAGGCGAGTGGATTTTGGCAGGCAGTGAGTGCGGACCAACGATTGAACGATAACAAGAACGGCTCTCACCAAGTAGGACTCGGTTCCCCTCGTTCGTACCAAAGAGCCGTTCAAAAGAATCGGCTCGTTCGCGACCGACACATCACTACTTGATAGCCCACTCCCCCTCCACACCTCTCCACACTCGTTGGTTTGGAACAGCACTTAATGTGGCGGACCCTCCGCGCGAACGGAGGGGTAGTGTGTAGGGGTAGGGTGTAGCATGTCGTTGTGTCCCCGAGACACTTCACCCCAAAGTGCTCCTGTGGGGATTGCCCACAGTATTGAGTAGGTAAGCTTTGGATAAAAGCGTCTAACAAGTGACATGTAATGATTCAAAAAGCTTTTGGTGGCCATATTGAATAACAAACCAATGTGGTTTACTTGTTATCCACAGTTTAGCTGCTAAATGTTACCTTTACAAAGCTACGCTGAAAACACAGCAAAGTTCATATAACGGTATTAGGTTAGTTGAAACTAATATTTGTATAGTTAAACTCAACACTTTTCTTTGTGCTCCACATATCTAAATGTATAAAGTGTGTTTTCACCTCCGTTCCCTCCTGTTTGCTGCAGTATGGCAGCAGCGGTCAGGATGGGATCCTCTGTGATCAGATAGTGGTCCTGATGGTGTCCGCTGACCGGGCGCAGGCTGCCTACTCTCAGCGGGGGGGAACTGAACGTGGAAACTGTGTTTCTCTGAGGGATCCTCCATGTAGTCTGAGAAGCCTTCTGAGGAAACAAGGTCAAACTATTTAGGATAATACTATGAGAAGGAACAATGTTTAGGCAGTAAATAGAATTTCAATTACATTTCTACTTAAATGTGCAAAAATATTAGAACATCAGTCTTTGTGGCATGCAGGTAATCAACTGTTTAAGCTTTTACCATTAACATGTAGAATGAATGTTGCAAATTACTTGAAATTATAGCAACTACAATCTGTTGTTTACCTCTATGCATTAGCCACAGAGGTAGCATTATGTCCAGCTAGCATGCTAATTGCTAACGATATATTATCGTTTTATCCCGGAGGGGAAAACTAGTTTCTAATCCTGAGAGAAACACCTCGCCTGAAACACACGATTAGTGCCATGAGTTAGTGAAGCAAATTACAGAACATTGCACTTATTCACAAGTCAAAACGTGTTCATAGCGGGCATGGATGAGAATAGCTAGCTAGCTAGATGTTATTAGCCAGCTTGGACCTAACGTTAGCAAGTTCTACCATGGCTAGCTCGATCTACTGAGCAAATAAAAGTACATCTAAGACCAGTATTGTGCAGATTAAAACAGTGCAGTGCATGTATTTTATTTTACCTTCGTAGTCGTCCCGACATGACTTTGCCAGGTCTGCTAACTTTGCTGATCCACTGAAACTGCATGCAGTAGAAGCTTCAGAATGTGCGAACCTTCGAGTAAATCGCCAGAAGCGCAGACACATCCTCATCACTCCAATTGATTTATTTAGTGTTGCTATAATAACTGCTTTCACAAAAGGAATCTCTTCGGATGTGCTGTCCAGCGAGGAAATACAATGGCCGCTTACAACAAAAAATTCTGAGTCAAACGGGCGTGGTTTGCATTCCGCACAGCCAATCAGACGTACGAACTACATTCTCCCACGACAGACCCTGCTCTGTAGCAGGGACTGAAAAGCGAGTCTCGCGAACTAAGTTGAGCTACTTTAGTTCCTGGGGCTTTTTGGTGTGAACGCAAATATATCGTAGTTCTGATGAACTATTGTGGGAAAAGTACACCAAAGTACTCCGGTGTGAACGCACCTATTGTGAAACAGTATTTGTGGCACCTTTCAAAACTACCTCATGTTAAAAACTGAAAGAGATATTGAAAACAATAGCAGGAGTCAATTATGCTCAATTTATGACGAGATTTGTAAAGCCAAAAGCCAAAGTCACACGGGTAGCCGGCACACTTTTTCCTACCTCTATTTCCTAAAATTATGTATGACATAATGTGAGAACTTTGGGATCAGCAGGTTTAAACAAATATTTTTCAGAAGGTTTGAAACCTCTTCTCTACTCTGGCAGTGAGGTCATCTGTAGCTCTGAACATCCAGTCCCACACATTTCCTGAAATATAAACTGTAATAGTTCAAAAACTGTAATATCAAAAAGCTGAATACAAGGTCAATACATAAATGTTGTAAAAGTTTAAAGTTAGAATCAGGTATCTAGCTTAGTAGGAGTTGCATTTTTTGGGGAAAAAAAACAGATTTTTCCCATTAAGTTACATTGAAGAAAAGCTTAATTTTCAAAATCTATAAAAGTAATTTTAATCAATTTGTGTATGTCTTCTGGGCGACTGGCAGGTGTTGTGTTGCATTCAAATATGTTGCAAGTATTTTCTTTACAAATTCATCTTAAACCCACTTTGAATGACATTTAACCTGTGACTGATCAAAGCCAAACTAGGACAAAGTGTCCCTATTATGACACATTATACCTGTTGGGGAATAATTTGCCCTGCATGTCCTCCTTCACCCTCTGACGCAGCTGACCAACCTTGAGCAGCCGTTATCTCCCATAAGGAGGGGCTGCCAGCATATTGTTGATGTTGCCAGTTTATGACCGGGCAACTCTCGGTGAGAGATAGTTATTGTTGTGGGACACCTGGAACACATCCTTCTCGGGGTGCAGATGACCCCGAGCCATAAGTGACAACAACTGTGATTCAGTGTCCTCAGCTGTTTAGTCTATCTATTGAAGAATGTTGATTATTACACTCTGAACTAGTTAAAACCTCGAGGAGGGTTCTTCAGAATTGATTGTGGCATCTCAACCGTGTGGTCAAACCGTGGCCCGTGACATGTCTTGTGAATTCTCCGGCTGAAGCTCCAAATAAGCCGTCAGTGTTTGCCATCAAAGCTCCAGCTCTCCTCGTGTCTCTCTGAGTCCTGACTCCAATTGCTTACCCCACAATACCCACATGGACTTTTGATCTGAGGTCTAAGTCTAAAACCATATCATCTTTCGAAAGCCTGTCAACAGTCATGCTGTGTCAGCATCCCGGCACTTTTAGCATGAAGCAAAAAATAAAGGGAGGAACCATTTCAAAAACCTCAGGATGGCAAGATGATGTGCTTTGGACCACCAACAGTATGGAAAAGCTCTCAGCTCTCAGTCATGGTGGTCTCTGATGGGCGCGGTAGTTCTGACCTGGATACTTTTTTTTATCTGTGGTGAGAAAATTCAGCTTGCCGTGCTATGGGAAAGCACCAGCTGGGTTAATTAAAGGAAAGCAGGAGATCCAAATATTTCATTTGGTTAGTGAATGTAGGCCGTGCAATGAGACACCAGAAGGCTGCAAGTCAAATACAACAGCACAAAAGTTGTAATCACATTATAAAAGATGATTTCTCTATTCAGTACAGACAGAATGAACAGCATTCTCAGTATGCTGAGTCAGACATGAACTATAATGAAATGATGCAGGTTTGTGAAGGACTGATGCATGCAGGCTCACTCAGATTATTTACACAACGCCGACATTGTCCCGGCAAACATTTGCTTAACATGTAATCTTTAGGTTTACTTTTGTGCAAAACAATGTTTGCCAGCTGATACATTAGAGGAGAGAGCGTTCATTTACAAACTAATTAAATAATTGTCAAAGAAAACATAATCAGTGTTAAAAAAGGAATGCATTTTCTTTGCTTTATAATGACCTGAAAAAGAAACAGCCTTCTACATTAAATTATTTCGTATTATATGATACATGGACTAATAAAAAAGATCCATGGTTATTGTTAACACATTTCTAGTAAAGGTATCATCTATATAAGCCTGATAAAAGCTCACTGAATTTCTCCCTGAGTTTCAGTTTGTTATCTCCTGCATTTACAGAGATTTACAAAATGACAGCCAACAAAAACAATCCTCTCCAGATGTCGGTGCCTCTGGGAGAAGTGTACGACCGAGAAGAGATAAAGCAAATCATCATAACTAGCAGAAGATCACTGACATAGAAAAAAGTTCATTAACCTCTGCATTTTGGTTCCAGACCCACAGGCAGTGTGCATTTCAGCAGCCATGGTATTTGGATGTGTCTGGATCTGCCTGGATCAATCATTAGAGAGGAACTTTGGTTCTTACAACACATTACTGCTTACCTGTGGGTGCCAACACAAACACATGCATATTTCTTATTTTATCAACCAGTTTTACATTTAAAAGTGCCGGACAAATGCTAAAGGCCCACACTGACCACACCATCAACCACACTAAAATTGGTTCTGAATGTATAGGTTGTCAGGCATGCAAAAGGGGCTTGAAGATGCTGAGAAGTCATAGTGCTACTAACTTCTCCCTTCCTAATAGGCACACATTTGTTGAATAGAGACAAAACACTGCATCAGTTGAGGATAAAGCATGAAAACAAGGAGCAACGTGTGTGAGGACAACTACTGCTCAACTGGCTAGGGAACATTTGGTTAAACAAAGCATCAACATTTGTGTTTAAAGTTCACTTTTACTCAACATGAGCAGCAGCGATCTATAAGGGAATGATCAAAATCAATTCCAAGTTAAAATTTAACAGAGGTTCAAGAAAACATGTCAATAAAAGCTTAATTCGATTGTTCTCAAACACAGGATGGTACATTGAATTTAATCTTGTGACCAGTAGTGGAAATTCATTTTCTAAAGTATAACATGTGCTGTAGTTAATTCCATTTCTATTTTTCACTCTAATTATTTGACAACTATAGTTAGCCAGGCACCTAATTTGCATTCAGATTCAGATTGTAAATAAAACGTTTAATCAACAAATTAATGATGATGATGATGAATACTGTGTTCAAAACATAAATGACTTATAAAATAATTAAGTACTAGTCACTCTGCTATCTGTTTAATGTAAAGGTTTAACTAAACACAGGCAACAACAAAGTTTTTCCAGATGTTGTTCCCTCTGGTAATTAAGTCCAGTTTAAATCGGTTTGATGAGGCTTGATGGGGACAATAGTCAAAACATACCGGGTATCACATCGAATGTGAAATCTGTGTTTCATGTCCAACGCCAGTACAGTCAGGTTGCAGCTTGTACATTTGTTCAGGGAATGGCATTTGGATCTGCTCTCCACAGTGCGCGTACCCACATGCGCATGCGTCCATGCTTTGAGAGAAAAGGGAACGCGCTGTAACAGAGTGAGAAAGCAAACCGCTATATGTGCCTGCGGAGTTCATGCTACTCAGATCTACTGAAAACCACGCCATGGTTCCTCTAAATGGTGTCGAGGGATGAACTTTGATTTCCACATCCTGTCACAGCTTCTACTCGGGTTTGTGTGCGCGCTGCAAGCTGGGTATATCTCTCGATTTCCCACGCAGCGTGTCACCAAACGCAACGTGAACTTGGTCCTAAATCATTGTACAGTACAACAGGCTCGCTCCACGGATTAAAGCTCATCTGTCGGGCAGCGCTGCTGGTAAGTAAGACCCTTTCGAGCTAACGTGTGTTAGGAGTTTCTCTACATGCCTGTTGGGAGGCATGGGACCACCGATCTGATGTAAGTGGCCTCACTTGATCACAAGATATTAGATTTAATTTGGCTGGCTTGCGACGAGATTTGATTTCCACATTTTGTCAGTGTGTGTCTGGTTTTGTGCGATTGTATGGATAGACAGATAGAAGACTGAGCTTAAAAAGACTACTGCATTTGTGAAAGATAATGATACATGTTCTTGAATTGATTTATCCAGAGACAGTAATTACCTTCCCTGTCATCTGTGACATAGAATCTGAGTTGAAGTGGAATTTAAGTTACAGTAAAAAAACACGAGACAGGAAATGTAGATAGTTTTGAAGCATCAGTTCTGTGTGTTGCTTATTGCTGCAAACCCATGTTACCTGTGATGTTTTGCATTAATGGGGCTTTTGTACACAAGGTAACTTGACATCTGCTATCATAACATTACCCTCTGTTCCCTGCAGCAGCCACTGCTGGGAAGCACTCGTCCTTGAATCAGTTTGGTTGCAGTCTGACTTTATTTGAACACACATCTCTCCTTATCTACATTCATTTTAGGCAACATAATCAGTTATTGCAGGTTAGTTTTGCAAGAACTAAAGCCACTTGTTTAATTTTGTTTAGTGTCAACAAAAGCATTACATGACAACAACTTAGAAGGGATATTATGAAGGGTTTTTTTATTGTTCCATTTATATCTCTCAGCCTCAGTGTCCTCAGGTGGGATACTTAAAACCTTCCAGTTCTGTTGGGACTTCTCCCATGGCAACTGAGCCATGGACACAATCTCCCAGGATCCTTCAGTATTTCAAAAAAGAAGAATAGAAACCCAATACTTTATGTAAGAGCTGTTAACCTGTAGACCAGAAGAAGTAAATCAAAATGTTAAGCATGGTGGCTCAATACTACACCTTTTCATAACGTCCTTACTCTCTTGCTCTGTGCTCCAGCTGAATCAGGGCAGTGTATGTCACACCCTAAAGTCAGACTATTAAAGTGTAGAGCAAATCTTGATCAAACTTGTTGGTGGGAGGAAGATCATTTCGTAAATCAGCGTGATAAGACCTGACATCACAGCATGGGGAATGTACAAACTTGGCACAGAAATGTTAACGGCATTTGAGATAATGGAGAATCAAATGGATTTTCTGATCCATTGCCACTAGTACATTTCCCTTTTAGATTTTTTAGTGAGGGTTTCGCAACTTTTTTGTTTGGTTGACTCAACTCTTTGTTGTGAATGAGGATTATTATGTAAACCTTGATGTCACAGGCTAAACTAGATTTCCTCCAGATGGCCAAATGAGACTAATTCAACAGTGAAACATTGGGCCTCATGCAGCAACTCTTTAATTTCTTCTCTTAAATACATGTTCTCTTAGTTTTCTTTAAAAAGGCTAGTGTGTGGTATTTTGGGGGATCGAGCAGAATTTGAACACACATTTCACAACAATGTTTTCAGTAGTGTATAATCCCTTGAAACCAGGATTTTTTTCCCCCAGTTTAGAATGAGCCCTTAATATGTACATGGAGCAGTTGTTCTTACACAAAGTCCTCTATGTTGCACCACAGTGATTTTAAAGGCCTTTATTTTTTTGTATTAGTTCCTCAATTCTGGCGTTATGGCAGTGTATCAGATGGTCAGGGAACTACAGTGTGTACAGGTGATGTAAATTAGCTAGAGCCAGTGTTTTGTTTGCCTGTTTTGTTTGGTGTCAAGATCATCAGTGGTACAACAAGGCAAGGTGTTTTGCTTGCCTGTTTTGTTTGGTGTCAAGATCATCAGTGGTACAACAAGGCAAGGCAAGGCAAGGCAAGGCAATTTTATTTATATAGCACCTTTCAGCACGCGACAATTCAAAGTGCTTTACAAAAAAAGCACTTTGAATTGTAAAAATTCAAAGTGCTTAAAAAAGCACTTTTTTAAGCACTTTGAATTTTGCTTTATATTTGCATAAAAAAGCAAATTTAATGAAATACATAAATAAATAAACACAGCAGGTACAGAATACATGAATAAAAGGCATACTGCAGTGTGAGTATGAACAGCTCAATTAAAAGCAGCGGCAAATAGATATGTTTTTAGTCTGGATTTGAAAATAGGAAGTGTTTCAGCGGACGTGCACGATTCGGGCAGTTTGTTCCAGATTGTCGGGGCATAGTAGCTAAACGCTGCTTTTTCATGTTTAGTTCTTATTCTTGGAACAGAGAGCAGACCCGACCCAGAAGACCTGAGACTCCTGGATGGTTCATAGTTATGCAGGAGATCGTTTATATACCTCGGTCCTAAGCCATTTAGTGATTTAAAAACTAGCAGTAGTATTTTAAAATCAATTATTTGGTCGACTGGAAGCCAGTGTAAAGACTTCAGAACCGGACTGATGTGATCCACTCTTTTAGTGTTAGTGAGGACTCGAGCAGCGGCGTTCTGAATCAGCTGCAGCTTTCTGATGGATTTTTTTGTGAGCCCTGTGAATACACTATTGCAGTAGTCGAGTCCACTGAAAATAAAAGCATGGACAAGTTTTGCGACATTAGTTTTTTAATCCTTGATATTCTTCAGGTGGTAGTATGCAGACCTAATAACTGTTGTAATGTGACTGTTAAAATTCAGGTCTGAGTCCATCACTACACCTAGATTTCTAGCTTTATGAGTTACTTTGTAGTCTGCTGACTGAAGCTCTGCGATTAATTTTAATCGGTCCTTCTTTGCTCCAAAAACAATGATCTCAGTTTTTTGTTTGTTCAACTGGAGAAAGTTCTGAGTCATCCAGTCAGTGATGTGCTCAATGCACTTGCTCAGTGTTCTAATCGGAGAGTAGTCTCCCGGTGTAATTTAAAAATAAATCTGGGTGTCGTCTGCATAGATGTGATAGCTTAGATCGCTCTTTTTAATAATTTGAGCAAGTGGTAGCATATAGATATTAAAAAGCAAAGGTCCTAAGATGGAGCCTTGAGGAACCCCGCATGACATATTTGTCAGGGTTGATTTGTAATTGCCTATTGAGACAAAGTTTGTTCTGTCCTTTAAGTAGGAACTAAACTAATTTAAAGCTGTTGCTGAAACTCCCACCCAGTTTTCTAGACGGTCTAGCAATATGTTGTGGTCAACAGTATCAAAGGCAGCGCTGAGATCGAATAATACTAACACTGATATTCTGCCACTGTCTGTGTTTAAATGGATGTAATTTAAGACCTTAACAAGAGAAGTCTCAGTGCTGTGGTTTGGTCGAAAGCCTGACTGGAACACATCAAAACCGTCAGTTAAAAACATGAAATTACTCAACTGTTGAAAAACAACTTTTTCAATCAATTTGCTTAAAAAGGGAAGGTTTGATTTTGGCCTGTAATTATTCATTACGGTTGCGTCTAGGTTATGCTTTTTTAGGAGCGGTTTAATTACTGCAGTTTTCAGGGCCTGTGGAAATACACCCGAGTGGAGAGACTTGTTTACTATGTGTAGTATATCTGAGGCCAAGCAATGAAAAACAGTTTTGAAAAATCCTGTCGGAATAATATCGAGGCTACAGGAGGAGGATTTCAGATGTTGAATAATGTCTTCCAGGTTATTAGCATTTATCAGACGGAATTGTGTCATGATGTCTGTATTGACTTTAGGTGGACACCGGGACAACACATTTGCTATACCTGATACAGAGGAACTGACTGCTTGTCTAATTTTCATGATTTTGTCAGTGAAGAAGGAGGCAAAATCATTGGATAGAAATTCTGAAGCTACTGACACTGGGGGGTTTGTTAGTCTGTCGACGGTAGCAAACAAGGCACGTGAGTTGTTTTTATTTTTGGTAATGATGTCAGAGAAGAACGATTGTCGTGCCTTTTGTATTTCCTGATTATAGATGCAGAGTCTTTCTTTATATATTTCGAAGTAAACTTGGAGTTTTGTTTTCTCCACCTGCGTTCAACAGGAAAATGAAAAAGACCATAAGAGCAGTGAAGGCACACAATGTCAGCCAGGTGTTGTTATAGTCAAAAGTAATAATCCAATAGGTATAATAACTCTTAAACCTATAATAATCCAAACATTGTGTATTTTCCTGAACAATAAAATGTGTTTCCTTGCCTAAGATGTACATGTATGTGTAAAACAAATTAAAATATATATATATAGTTCTATCATTAAAATAAATAGCTAACATTTCCACAAATAAACATGTGTTCACTTTATGGGATTTTACACTCTTAATCAGAAGTATATCTATTCTTCCTGCTCTCCACTTTTCTCTTTTTCTCAGTCTCTCTCTCCAGCTCATATTTTTGAAAAGCTGAAGGTTAGCTACAATATCTTTATGTTCTGCTAAATCACTAAACTGTCAAAAAGTATAAATGCTATTCGTTTTGCCAACAAACCTAAAACCTGATGAAACATATCATCTAAAAGGGGGCATTAAATCCATATTATCTATAGTTTATTGTGGTAAAAACACACATATCATGCAGTCTCTCATTCCTGTCTCCTCGAAGGGCTACATGTCTGCTTTCTATTTCAACCTGAAGTTTACAGTAGGCTTTTTGTTGAAACGATAAAATATGTTTTTTTCTGTAGCTCACCTGGATGGCCAACCTAGATTATAGAGAAAAAGTGGTATTGTTCTGACAAAGTGAACACTTGAATCGCAGTTATATCTTTGAGATAGATACAAAGATGGATAGATGGATAGATAGATAGAATGATGGATGGATATATAGATGGATAGATAGACTGCTGTTTCATGGGGTTGTATAAGGTCACAGTAGCAGCCAGCAGCTATAAGAGATACACTTTCTGCACAGATGTTGCATTTAATAGGGCTTAGAGGTATTTAGCTCATGGGAACTTCATATCAGCTGCAACGGCACCATCTGCCATCTGCAGTAATGTCTACTTTTACAATCTGATGAACACACATGGCCTCAAAACAACTGGCAAATGTTATCATACTCTTGTGCTGTCATTTTCAGCCCAATAAGAGAACAGAATGTAAAAGCTAGACTACAGTGTTCACTGTGTTTCTGGTGATTTGGCAAATTGCTTGAATTCACAATAACAATATTAGCTAGAGCTTTAACTGCATTATCATCAATTATCTATCTTGTATTAATACCTGTAATTTAAAGTGTTTTTAATAAATCTGATGTGTTTTACTTAAAGGACACGCAATGTATAGAGAGGTGGGGATGAGGGTTAGGGTTAGGCTGAGTGTTGATTGGACCAATGGCTCTTTTTGCCCTAAGGCCCCTAAATGGGTTAATCCAGCCGTATGTACTGTGACAAAAAATGGCTCTTCTTATTACACGTTTCTCTCTCTCTATTAATATATTTTGGACAAATTCTTGAAGTCATTAGTTGATAATAAAAAAAAAACGGATAAACTGAAGGCGTTTAGTAGTAGTATTTGGTATCATCAATTCACTTTACATCTTTTATAGACATGTAGCCGCATGTAGCTTTTACTTCCCTATTGGATTAGACTCCCATATGATTTTACCAAACCCATCCAAACGGAAAAAACGGAAAAAAGACGTGCTGTTAAAATTCCTAGTTTATCAAACGGCCTCCGGAAGAAGTACTTGCTATAAAAGTACTTTTATAGCTCTAACATGCTATAAAAAAAAGCTATATTGTTCTTATCATAGTTGTATAGCATAGTGCAATATACAGCCAGCTACAAACACTCACCTGCAGGTGTGACCCGAATGTGTAGGTCATTGCAGACGGGAAGGATCGTATTGCCAAACGATGTAACCCCGGTTCAATATGTCAGTGTGTGAAGAGTTTGCGATGACCAACTGGAAATGATCAGCTGTTGCCAAAATAAAACAGAGAAAAACTTCTCCTGGCTAGATCTAATTAAGACCAGATGACTCCTAAAGTAATGGTAGGACAAAGTTACAGAGTCATCCAAGACTGTAAACACACACACATACACATACACATACACATACACATACACATACACATACACACACACACACACACACACACACACACACACACACACACACATATAAACTGACTTAAGGCTATCCAACAACAGAGCAAAGGTTATAGATTGTAATCTGATAGTATTAGCACATTGATCTCATATAATGGCGAATGGTACCTTGACTGCATTTATATAGCACTTTCCTGTCTTTGCGGCACCTCAAAGCACTTTTACATACACATGTCAGCATTCTCCCATTCACACACATTTGTACTGAAGCAGAGGCTGCACTCACACACCTTTGGCCACTCAAGAGCAATTTGGGGTTCAGTATCTTGCCCAAGGACACTTTGAAATGTTACTGCAGGGGCTAGGGATCCATTAGTGGACGACCATATACCTCATGAGTCACAAAAATATAAGTACATTTCTATTTTTAACGACACCTATTACAATTCAATTTTCCAATGTCGTTTCCAAGTAGTAAGACCTACAGTTCGTTCATCCAAAAGAGCGCTCTGTTTATATCCTTAAGGAGACAGGACTACAAGTATGAATCAAATGCTGCTGGCTAAATAAGATTGACTGTTTTGTGTTTTGATCAGTATGAGTCGACAAGCTGTCATGCAATAATCTTAAATGTTGTACGTGAGGGACTACGGATGGAAACTAGCTCAAAGCTAAAATCCGGCATGTTTACGTTTTTAAAGCATTATTTGTTTTAAATGTTCATCAATGTGCACTGTCCCTCGTCAAATAAACGATTAAATGAAATGAAAAAATAAGGGAAACATGTTTTTGCATGGCTCTGGTTGAGTTCCTTCCTATTGTGAAATGTTAACTCAAGTGTCGGGAATAAAAGCGTTGATTATAGCCTTTGAATCCTTTTCTTCATAAAAGCATTCGTGGCGTTAAAAATGGGGCGGATTGAGCCCCTCTGAATGGATTACATTTCTGGGATTACTGTATGTCATTTAGAGGTGGATTTTCTATTGTGAGCGGGACCCACATGGGATTTTCTTTAGAGATTGTGTCTGTGGTTGACTAAATCAGATGGTACGTGAAAGGGGGTTGGATAAGAAGGTCATTTCGGGTCACCATTTATGTCTTTGCTGGCGGATTTGCAAGTATTTTATCCATTTCAAACCAACACATTACATCTAAAAATAAAGCTGTTCGGTCTTTGTTCGACGTGTGTTAATGGTGCCAGAACAAGTCGTGATGGTGACGTCTCACAATAGCTCAAAATTAATTTAATTTGTAATAAATTGGCGCTTTAAGGAGTTGCAAAGACTTGAACATCACTGTATAAATGCAGTCAATTTACCATAGTGGGAATGTAATGATTGTTTGTCAACCTCTTACTAAGCTATACGTTAACACAAGACTATCTTCCATTAATGCTCAGTCATAGTATTTGCCTTCTCAGCCCTCACCTTTCCCTGGAATTTTGAAAGGAAGGAACCAATAAACATTTCTCTCATCCCATGCCCTGGTTTTGCGGGAATGACTTCCTCTCCGCTGCCTGACTCATCTTTAATCACTACAGTGTGTGACTAAGCTCTTTAAGTGGTCTGTCTGCATTTCGGTGGTCCATGGTTTGACTTGAAGCAATGCTGTTTGTGGAGAAGGGCATTTCAGGACTAAATCTCACACTCATATCCCTCTCATCTTAAGGGTTGGGCCCCCTATGCTGAATCACAGCCAGTCAGGTATTGTGCTGCTCCGGTATGTGTTGTCTGTAGTGTCTGGGGAAGGCCCTTTGCCTCTTGTGCTTCACAGTCTTTTGAGCTACAGTATGACAGGCTCTAGTAACTTCCTCATGGAAAGAGGAAGTATTTTATACCGGAAAGGGCTATATGTAGGGCTGCAACAAATTATTCTGCCATAAATTTGACTGTAACATGTCAGAATACCGCTCAAATGCCAACAGTGGAATCTTTCACTTACATGTTTTGTCCAACTCACTGTCCTAATCCGAGCAAATCTTCACATTCTCAGCATTATCTGTATTCTATACTATTAAGTATGGAAGAATATCAGCCCATTTCAAGACTGTATGACATTTCTGGATTTCAATGTATTTAATTTATTAACACAGGTTTTGTCCTCTTGCATCAATCCCTGTTCCCTTGTGTGAGGATTATTCCGTACGCAGTCAAAAGAGCACATAAGGAGAACATCTTGAGGTTTTAATTACCGGTAGGTGTCTTAAGGCTCTCCAGTAACACACATTCAAGCCTTGGAGCACAAACAAAATGTGATTAAAAACAAAATAAAAAACTGCTGCAATCTCTGGGGTTTACGTGTGGCCTCCAGGCCCTTATTCCAGGAACCAGCCTGCTTCAACAGACCAGAACCAGGTTAACAACAAGTTCTTACCTGATTCTGATCAGCTCTTTGTTCTCCTTGAGCAACTTTTATCTCTCTACCAGCAGCCACTGCCCTGACCTCACCCCACTGACTGGCATTCATACAAACCATATCGTTTATCTAGATCTCTGCCATGCATCACTGCTGTTTCCTGTTTGTGCAACCTTCTCTTCATTTCACAATTGCGTTTTAGTTCCCTAATCTAGTACAAAGACACACAGATATTCTCTTGTTGAAGATCAGGTTGTGCTTTTGTTACAGGGAGAGGCCCAGACTCACTGCATCTGTACCACTGAGGACATATTCATTGGAAATGAAAGAGGGAAAAGGTAAGATGTTCTGTGGTAATATTGTTGTTTTTGTTGGTATTTTTGTGGTGACTGCACAGCTCCCTGAGAAGCTATTGTTTGCAATATTTTGAAAGTATATACGTTCAAGAAGTTTGTTGGTGATTCTGTACCAATCTGAAACACTCATCTCTATCAACTCTTTAGCTGCATTAGGGTTTATTGTCTTTTACTTTGTATAAAAGCATGTGAAATATGCCAACATTTACATGTCTGTCAATGGACTTAATTGTTTTAATCAACTCAAGAGCAAATAATTCAATTCAGCTTGACCATGAGCAAAGGCACATAACCGTTGGATTATTTGCTACCTAATTCAAGCCAATCACACAACAAGAGGAACAAACTCATCTTGCTCATTTCCTTTGGAGTTTGCTTCTCTAGAAATTCTCCTGTGTTATCATCATTTCCTTAAACAATAAATGATGATACACACAAAGCCCAGCCTGATATCCGGATCACGATAAAAACCCACCCTCTACAACACCAAAAAATGACACCCTAATTCAGAGGAAGCGAGTGTTGTGAAATCAGAGTTTGGCCTTTTAAGGAGGGGCTCGAGTGGCCAGTTATACTGTAGGGAAGTGAAATACAGAGCGTCCCTGTGGTGGTGTTAATCGATCATGTGGTTTCCGCTTCTTCGCTGTCTCCAAGTTAGGGCGTGCTGATTTACTGGTAGATCTACAGGGGTATTACATTACTGTTGTTGCAATGTAGCAAGTACATGTGCACACAAGCCCATCTCAAAATAGATATTCAGCTGCTTCAGTTAGCTATTGATTCTGATGGGCTCGCCCCGAAGCGGTGTTAAGCATGTTCTGCAGCCATTTGGGTGGTATGCATGGTCCCTAAATCAGAAAGACTGTGGATAACAAGTGCATGGTACAGTAAGTAGACATGTGTATGTAACAGTACACGCACTTTAATCTGGTTTTAACTGTAATCTGACCTATCCCAAGCAACAGTGCCAAAGCCAAAGTGATGCAGTTGGATCACCCCCCAGTTCAGGGACCAAGTATCAAACAGTCTAGTATGATCCTCTTAAAATGATCGGCCTTCATCTGCTGCCTTTCTCTCTCCTAGCTTCTCTCTTTCTCTTATTATTTCTGTCTCTCTCTCTTTTGCACACTCCTGACGTCTTTTTACGTTTCATTGATTTGTTCTCCGCCACTCCCATTAACTATGATTGTATCTGAGTCGTGCTATGAGAACAAGCATTGCATCTTATTTGACTTCATTCCTCAACCAACCATTGTGTGTTTCGTTTTATGGTTCTTTACCCACAACCTCTTCAACACCATTCATTCACACAGCAGTGTTTGAAGGAGGTCTTTATACATTTGGTGTTTGTGCTTTCTGTACCTGTTCCCCAGGATAATCATGCACTGTGTAGACAGGAGAGGACTAAGGAGCACGTGAACATGTCCCAGAAGGCAACTAAAAGTAAGAACTTTTGCCGTGGGTGTTTTTGAAGTGGATGTTTCATTACTATTTCTCTCACTTGATATTCAGTAAAACACTCATCTGATATATGTCTAATTAAGGAATCAAGGACCAAAATGCAAATGTTTTCACAGATTAATGCTCAGATTAATTTTAACCACCATTACTTTTTGTTATATGCATTGGTTACCTGTGATCAGTACCATCTGTTACCTTTATCACGTCTTTAAAATCAGCAGAAATGTATCTGTGACGATTGAGGTCACAGATTAAGATAATCCAAAATCATCAGAGCAGAATGACACTGCACTTACAGTTTGCAACATCAGTTTTGTTGCTCTAGCCACACAACATTTACGCAAGAAAAACCCTCATGTCTTGTTTACTGTTTTGTCTAAATTGTTGTGGGAAAAAAACATAAAGTTGATGCTTTTTAGGTTATTCACTCTTAATGTAAAGCAGGGCTCTTGCCTTTATGCTGCAAACAAAAAACATCCACAGTGATTCATTTTCAACAAAACCTGGAGCGGCAGTTGATCTGAAGGTTTCTGTATTTTGTTCTAGCATAAAAAATGTCCTGTCACTAAATCTCTCAATCTTACTTATTTGGAATGTACTAGTTTGTATACTTAAGAAATAGTCTGTGCCACCTCCACACACAAAAAAGAAACACTTATAACCAGCTGTCATCTTTACACTAGGCTACATTGGACAATACATAGGTGGTTTCAATCTTTTCATTTTCATCTAACACTTAGACCATGAACTCCCAGATTAAGTTCTTATGCTGGAATATTTTTTTTAGTATCCGTTTATTCATATTTTAGAAAGTGTATGCATGGTCATGGAAACTAGACAGACAGGTTGGAGAGGATTTTACAAGAAGCTATTTTATAAAAATAGATAAAAAAAAAAGCATGAAGGTCCCTGTACTCAATAAAACGGATCTGTCATCATTCAAAAAAAGTTATTTTAATGTATTTTAACCGGGACATACATAAACATTCCATTCCAAGAGGCTAGTTTTTATCTGTAGTCCCTGGACAGACAGATGAAAATATCACCTTTATAAATGGCAGTATGTTAACCCAGTACAGACGCTCGTAGAGTGTAATGATATCATTTTTTTTTGTTTGGTTTGGCAGGTAGTTATTGTACTGCTCCTTAAGTAGGATGAGTTAAATGCAGTCTCAGTTTCACAGTTTGTGCGATGCTGTGCCTATTCATTTAAAGGGGACCTATCATGCAAAATGCACTTTTGTACGTCTTTTATAATAATAATAATAATAATAATAATGGGTTCCATTTATAAAGCACTTCATATTTGATTTCAAATCCGGAAGTGCTACAAGCAGTGAGCATGAACAGTATAAATAAACATTACACAACACGGTAGAATTAATAAAAAGCAATAATGAATATGTGTCCCCGGTGTTCCAGGGAACTCACCAAGTGTCAGAAAACACAACCCTCTCTCTTTTCCTCCATACCCAAATCTCTAAAAACGGGGCTGCAACGGATCTGATAAAAACTGATCCAGATTTGAACATTCCTCTGACGTCAGGACGGCGGAGCTGACCTATCAGGGGAATGAGAGGTTGCCGTGGCATGGTAACAGCATGGTAACACGACGCTCGTAACTCGGCCCCCTCCTTTGCAGGGGGGCGTGGTCAGCTGCAGCGCATGCAAAGACAGGGTGGAGGAGAGCAAAATAGAGCGAAATGAGGCATGGCTAAAATGCATGATCTGTTTGGTATTTTGAAAAATAAAACGTATAAATATACCTTATAGGTATGGCCCTACAATATATTATTCAAATATAGCATGATAGGTCCACTTTAAAGAATCTTTCTTTTCCATTTCCATTAAAACATTTTGTATTTGTACAAATTGAGACCATAACAGGTGGGGGATCGTTTCTTGTAGACCTGTGCCGTTATCTCTAAATAACAAGTGGCACATGCAGGAAACACATTAGTAAAGTTTCAGTTTCATTTTTCAGTACCCATTCTGGTACTCACACCTGTGTTTAAGGGGATGCCAACTCTTGAGCAGTATCTTATTTCAAAAAAGTTGAATGTGTTGTTAAATGGATCACAATTAGAGTGGTTTATTTTCTATCATTGGGTCATTCCTTACAGCAATCTATACATCAACTGCTGTAACATCAAATAAATCTCACTTTGAACTAAGCATTGGTTGTATGCTATATTTGATCATTCAGTTTTTTTAAACTATTGTACCTTTGCCTCTGTTTTTGTCTTCTTTGAATCCAGCATGGTGCCTTAGGCTTCTCCCAGTGCTCTTCTTCTTCATCTCCTTTGTCACATACTACTACTCCTATGCCATACTTCAGAGGTAATTACACACAGACGCAAACACAAGCATGTCTATTTTTCCTGGTTCCTCTCGGTATTGAGGTCACAAAATTACAGAAATGCCCATTTCTGGTAAAGAAAAAAAGTAATCTCATGACGTCTGTTTAGTGTTGAGTCATTTAAAGTTTACCCACATTGGCATCATATGGCAGTCTTTGCTGCTGGTCAATTTAAACCCTCACACATGCCCATTCTTGCACTTTTTAAATGTTCTGGGCCCAGTTTCTGTGTTTTTATGGATTCAGCAGCAACGTTCATGCCAGTTGTGGTGATTATCTGTCTTTCAGCTACGGAGGCACCAACAAGTCTCCGAACAGTAGCAAGTCGCTGTGTGGTGGCTGGCTAACCCAGAAGAAGTGGGAGAGCCTTAACTTTAAGTGAGTAATGGCATGTCTGTGTTTTCTTTTTTTTTTACAAACTGGAGGGAGTGGATGGCTTATTAAGGGGAGGAAGGTATGCCAGTATTTTTATTTGAGCATAAAGTGCCAGGAGTCTAAGAACTGTTAGGCCTGCTTTTTACCAGTCATGAAGGAAAAGCAGTGAGAAAGAACAGGACTTATTATGAAAAAACATTTTCCTCTAAGTCACGTACATTTCAGTTACTCAAGTTGACTCAATGTTTGATGAAATGGCTGAGGGGAAGACTTAATATAAAAACCAAGTTGGCTCAGAATTAGCTCTTGACAAGGTTGGCCAGACAATAGTTTGTTTGTCCTCTTCAGGTTCTGCCTTATTAAGCAATCATTGTTCCACAGTCCTGAGCCGCTTCTCTTGCTCTATTATCAGTTTATTCAGCTGAAAAGGTACTGTTGGCCTTTTTTCTGGCTCTGTTCTGTTACAAAACAGTCTCCATCTGGTTTATCCAAGCCTCCTCAGAGGTCACTGTTTATTTTCTTTAGCTCATTAGACCTGGCACTGCCCGCCCTTTGACCTTTTAAACAGTCAAGATTCGTAATCCCCTGTGTTTGCCCCAGTTAAAGAACATGATTTGCATTCTCACATAAAGCCAGTGGCTGGTTGTTCTCTGGTTTTCACATCAGTCATTACAGGCACAGCGAGGGCTTTAAGGCAATCATACTGACATTTCTCTAATTAGACCCTTCCCCGGAGATTTATGCTGATCCCCTGCGAAGAGCTAGCTGGCACACAAGGGTAATAACTGTCTGATAGAATCGCAGTCAAAGACAGTAGGTCATAAACAGCTGGAGTCTGAAGCTAGCAAACACAGGAAAAGCAACTGTTTCACATATTACAACCTGCCGTATTTGTCTCACTCCACAGGCTCTCTGAATGTTATTGTTTTTTCTCCCTCTTCTCGCGAGAGAAATGCCAACAGGAGATTTTAATGAGGGAAATCACGCTTGAATGACATCATGTACACGGCTGGTTTATTTACAATGAGTCTGCTTTACCTGCTTAATAGATAACAGAACATTTGGGAAAGTCAAGACAAGCTTTCCAGGTGCCAATATGAACATGGCTCTGTTTGGCAGCTCCGTCGGTCTGTCCATTGTGTGGTTTCAAAGTTGTTATAGCTTTTCTCCATCCTCGCTGTCTTACGCCTCATTCATATCCTCCACCGCAAACCATCGTGTGATATAATTTATACAGTGAAACCCTGTGCACTGCAGTATCATGTTGAAATTCCTGCTCTGACATTTTTTTTTCTGCAGTATTAGCAGACAGACTCGGCTCTTTCTGAAGCTGGAGGATTTCTTCTGGAAGGAGCATCTGTCAAAGCTGGCATTACCTTATGGCATTAAGGGCAGTGGTATGTTGACTTTATGTTATCCTCTGCTCCCTTTACTCAGTACATGTATCATCCTGCTTGTTGTATGCAGGCGTATGTTCGATCCTTTTTTAATGTATATGCCTTTACAGATTGGGTTTACAGATCTACAAAAAAGTATTTATCTTTACAACACACACATCCCAGTTCCCCAACAGAATGGGCTTATCACCATAGCTTGCAGTGATGCCTTACTGCTATCAGGGCAAAGGGCTTTGATACAAAAGATCACACAATCTTTATACTGACTGCACTTTGGTCATGTATTATTAAATCAATAAGGAAACAAGATTAAAGATATTCACAGTTGAAGTACTACTAGGAAGTTTTTGATTTTTTTTTTTTTGCCAATGCACATCTGTTTTAAAGATTTCAATCAGCTATTTTCAACTTCTCTTTTTCTCACTTTCCCACTCAGAACTACTGCTACTGCAAGTCCTTGCTGTTACCGCAAATTATCAGGTGCCAGAAAACATTGAAAAGTAAGTTTGAGCGAACTTCAGCCTAAAACTCCTATATTACAGAAGTCATTTTCGAATACATTTAAAGATCCAGGATTAGTGCCGTAGTGTCCACAGGTAATTGACACTACTACAGGAATATTTCTCACAAAACTTATGATTGGTTGAAGATATTTTCCAGCTGTGGATCTGTAACATCCTGTTACACTTTGTCAGTCCTGCTGCATGACTTCATTGCTGTGATTATAGGTACTTATGGGTAGCTGCTTAGCCGCATAACTGTCCCTCATTATGGTCAAGAAAGCACCTTCGGGCGCTATTTCTCTGCTGATAAATATGTTGTCAGTTATGTCTCCACACATTTTTTCTTTTATTGCACTAAAACTTGAAAAGACTCACGTTTGCATGTGGTGTTTTTTTCCTCAGCCTGGAATGCAGAACCTGTGTAGTCGTGGGCAACGGCTTTGCCATCAAAAACAGCTCGTTGGGAGGCATCATCAACAAATATGACGTGGTGATTCGGTACGCAGGAAGGAAGGGATCAAATCAATCACATTTGACATTACATTACATGTCATTTAGGTCATGCTTCTATCCATAGTGACTTACAATAAGTGGAATAAACCATGGAGATACAAACTGAGAACAACATGAAAAATGCAGATATATTCACTTGAAATGCACAATTAGTTTCAAATGGGCTTTCCCTATTAATAGCTAAAATATTTAATAATTAAAAAAAAAAATTGTTGGTTTTAATGACCAAGGAACAAGTAAAACAATGTTTAGTTATAATTACATTTATTAGCAATCTGACATGCTGTCGATAGAAAGAAAGTTATGAGTTTTGTAAGATTCATAAACTTTTGATGCATTGTTAATCCCACTTCAAGGTATTTGTTTTTGGGAGAAGAATGTTTAACATTCTTTTATCTTACAATATCTGAACCGTGAGAACAAATTATAACATGTTTAATCAATAACCACCCTCTTGATTCAAGATTGTTCTTATACATTAAGAACAGATGGATCCTTGTTAGATGAAAAATGAATAGTGAATGTGCAGATTTTCCCGCCACTTAAAGCAGGATATGAATTCACTCTGCTGTACACTAATGATGGACTGCATCCGACTGTGTGACCCTGACACAGAGCTGTCCTCTTAGCAATTAACAAACCTTTCTTCAGTTCTTTTTAAATGGAGAATATAAAGTGTTTAGTTTACTCAGGGACAAAGGCACTCTGCAAATCTGACTTTACAGCCTTGGAATGAACACATGCATTCTGAGTTTTTATAAGCCTCTTTCAAACAGCCCGAATTTGGCCTAGCCACAATGCATTTTTCTCTCCCCGTCACCCCCCCTTCCCCCTCCTCTTCTCTCACATCTATCCCTCTCTCAGAAGCTAATCATTCCCTAGCCAATAGAGCAAGGTTATTGACATTCAAAGCTTGCGTTAGAGTTTGACCTTACTGTGTTTGTTCTCTCTGTCATAGAAACACAGCTTTTTGAAGTTTTCCAACACGCAGATTAATGATTTATCCAAACACGGTCTCATTCTGTTCTTTTGGGCTCATTAATTGATCATGGAATAAGTTATGAATTGTTTTTTGGAAGATTAAATTATTTGTAAAGAGTAAGAAAGCAGAAGTGCCTTCGTACCCGAGAGGTTTCAGCGCATGCCACATCACTGCCACGTCCCCAGTATCGATTTCAACCTTGGGATTTTTGCTGCATGTCATACTCCTCTCTCTTTCCCCCCCATTTTCACTCTGTCCCTTTGCTGTCAAATAAAAGCAAAAATGCCTTTAATATCCTTTAAGTAGAGCTGGGATGTTCCCAGAATGAAACACATTTTAAATGCCTGAACACTCTGTGAGTTAGGTGCCCTTTTTGCAGCCCTTATTTTTTACTGTAATTTAAAAACCTGTTTTTGATTGAGAGTTGACTCTGCAAAGTGACAGGCCTTATCTAGAAGTGACAGAAGAACTGGAAAAACATCCTGTTTTAACAAATATTTAGTTTGTGTCAACATAGAATGGAACAAACATGAACTGATGAAACTGTGGCTTCTGTGAATCACACTTGTTTGTTGGATCAACGTGAAAAGATAATTGATTTTGTATTATTTAGTAGTTTTGTTGCTTTAGATTGTAGAACTAAACCGCTAGCTTCTTATTCTTATTTTATTCTTTAGCATTTCTTACATCAGACTTTTGACCAAATGAGGCATGTTCCTAATATTCTAATCCAACAATTACGTTGTTAGCAATAGCATACTTCCATCAAAATGACTGAATCCTATGGAGTGTGCCACACGGTGTAGGTTACTGTTCAAAAAGGCTCCGTTCCAAGGCTGTTTTGTTCAGTAATTTTGTTTGATTTTAGATGTCAACGGTTGTTTGAATGAGGTTTATCTGTAAAATATAACCCGAAAGTTGCGGTTTCACTACGTCTCTCTATTTCTGTGTAAACTTTCGGTTGGACTCGTATGTGAAATTGTTTACACAAAGTTCAAAGTTTATTTGGAAAGCTCTAGGAAGCTCACACTGCTTATCCAGATATATGATGTTAAGCCAGAGATGTGTTGCCCGAAAGAGATGTGGCGAATGCAGAGTTAGCATGAGGCAGGATGGACATGCTCAACAACCTTTTAGTGGTCCCGATGCGGTTTAAACAATCTGTATGGATGATTACAAAAAAATGGAAATCAAAACAAACCTGAAAATTCTTGTCTCTAAATATAGTATCGTGTCCCTGCCTCAGGTTGAACAATGCCCCAGTGAGAGGATACGAGGAGGACGTGGGGAATAAGACCACTATGAGGTTTTTCTACCCTGAGTCGGCCTCGTACAACCCGGGTCTGAACAACGAGCCCGGCACGCTCATGGTCCTGGTGCCTTTCAAACCGCAGGATCTCCGCTGGCTCAAAGAGATCCTCTATAACGAGAAGAGGGTACAGGCTATGTGTGAGAATGCACTCTATCTCTCACACACACACAAACACACACATGCTTTCCTTCTTACTTTGTCTCACTTTCTTACTCTCCCTCTCGGCATCACATAAACACTCTCCTTTTAGCTTCTTTCCCAGCCCTTGCCAGCCATCCACATCAGGAGCAAATACTTAAAAGGTTCGACCTCGGTGATGCCAGTGCCCTTCAGCGATAAATGTAGTTTCCATTACAGACATCCTTCACTCTGTTGCTCGGGGCACCCAAGGCCTCCTTCTGCTAATAGTTGCCAGGTCATTACCGGCTCATTTGCACATCGATTTAGTTGCCTCCAGACATGAGGGAGTCACAGGTTCAATTGCATTTTGGTTGTGCAAATGTGGGAACTGTGGGCCAACTAAAAATAGCTACGTTTTTTCTCATGTTCTGTCCTTTCTGTTTATTTTAATTTCACAACATCCCATGTCTCATCTTTTCTCAATGTTTATGCGTGATTTCCAGGTCAGAAAAGGCTTTTGGAGGAGCCCTCCTCAGATCTGGTTGGGTGACTACAGTAAAATAAGGGTGCTGGACCCCCACTTTCTGCACCAGACTGCAGACAGACTGCTCCGGATCCCTCTGCAACCCAAGAGCAAACAGGTCAGAGATCCACTTACATGTGTCTGTTTGAGAATAATGAACCATAACTTTGGTGGCAGTCCTTTTAAAATGTCAAACTCAAAATATTTTTCCCACTAGTACCTTCTATCGTGTTTGTTCTGTTTCTCTCATACCTCCCTTTTTCCCTTTCTGCTCTTCACTTCTCCCCACATGAATGTTAACAAGGCTGGATGGAGCATCCACTGATTAGCCACAGTTCCTCCAATGATCCGTCTTGAGCGCTGTGATAAGCAGTTTACTGGAAGAGGCATTTCTCTCGAAACATGGCCGTTTTTTTTAGGATCCAATTACTGCAAAACATGATGAAGATTAGCTTCTGCTTGGCATTCTGGCATATCATTACAAGATAAGCTTCTCGTTTCTTCTGGGCCACACTGTGAATCCCTGTCAAAATAATTGTTTTTTGAAGGAAAGCCAGAACATTTTTATAAATTTCAACCAGATGCTCTGTTTTTAGAAGAAAAAGGACCAGTGTTTGGTCTCTAAGGATGATTATTGCTGTTTTCTCTGGGAAAATCCCTGGATTGACAGTTTAGTCGATCTTTATTCAGCATGATTTGTGACTTTTGGGGCGGAGTGAGAACTCTCTAAAGACAAGACAACTTCAACAACACAGAACAAACAAAAGAAACCTAATCATAAACAGATTCATGAAACTATTCCGGCAACGATTGCACAACGAGAAAACCTGACGCATGACATTTTTTCTGCAGTTTACAATTGGTCTGTTTTGTTTCATAAATTGGACCCCACTTGTTTGGCTGAGCTGATTGGATTTTGAGCCATTACTCATGTAGTGAGTTTTCTCTGGCCCATGCATCCCATCTGCCCAGCGGGGCTTGTTGTGTGTTTGGTAGGGATCGACTCTGACATGGGCCAGATCCAAGATTTCTTTTTGCTTGTTCCCCTCTCCTTAGCCCGTTTTTTTTGTCAAAGAGTGAGTATGAGGGAGGGGGGGGGGTCCCCTCCCCTCCCCTTTTTTAGTCCCCCCAGTCTAAAAGGGGACTAAAAAGTCCCCTTTTAGACTGCAGTACAAACACAACGGGCCGATGCATGAGAAGAGTGAGCAGTGGAAGGCAGCGATCCTACAGGCGGTCGCCCGACAGGAGCTCTGCACCATCTGCACAGACAGTATGGAAAAGGCCAGGGGAGGAGGAGGAGGAGGAGGTGGAGGAGGAGTAGGAGGAGATAGATGGAAACATATACTGAAGCAATAGAAATAACTGGGATATATTTCCGAATGAGAATCAGGAAAATGTCCCACAGCAGGGACATTTATGTGGTTACAGCAGAGTGAACAGTGCAGATAGAAGAATTCAAATACAAATAAGTACACGTCCAAAAAAAAGTGAACATGTAAAAGCAGTGAAGAAGCACCCAGTAGTGAATAGAAAAAAGTAAATAGTGCGTGGTGTTATTTTACAACATTGTTACAGTAAAAAGTAATGCAAAAAAGTAACAGCCTGTAACAATTGTAAAATAGTATAGGAAAATAGTGTAGTCTGTATCCGGTGGTTCTGCTGCAGGAAGAAAGGAAAGAAGATAAAGAAAGACAGAAAGAATTATCTGTATTCAGGGCTGCAAATATATTTATTTGTCCTTAAACACTAGTGATTTAACTCCCTTAACAAACTAGTAAACCTAGATTCTTCCCTCTTGTCTTCTTCTGTCTCCTCCGTCTTTTCTTCTCTGTTCTCTGGTATTTTTTCATTTGCCAAATAGCAGCAGGAGTCCTGACTGTAGCAGACCTCCTTTTTGCAGATACTACCCTCACCTAATGACCCTGCCAGATAGCCAAGGACCCCCTTAACACACACATACAGTGTACACACACACACACACACACACACACACACACACACACACACACACACACACACACACACACACACACACATACACATAACTCTTATGTTCACACCCGTCTTCACAAACACAACGCTGTGTTCAGCTCTTGTAGGTCTGGCTTGCAGCGGTGACTATGAACCCCCGCCCCCTCTCTCCCTTCTCCCCTCTCACCAAGGCTCCATGGGCCTGCGTCCAAACTATGTGCCGGGCCGCCGCTGAGCTCTGGTGTTCGCCTGTGTGCTGGCGACCACATGAGGCTAATACACACAGAATGTCAGCTGTGTCCCATTGTGGGGTGCTCTTCAGTTTCAGAACTGAAGAAAAACAACAGTAGTGCTCAGGGCAACAGCGAATTGATCCTGTGTAATGTTTTAGATCCTAAAGAAGAGAGGACAGGAAAGAGGTTGTGTTTCAGTATCTTATCGAGGCTATCCGGTACATGTGGCCTTTTGTATCACTGCAGGAAATCTCACATTTGTTTAGATTTGTTCAAAATGATCAACAAAAGAACTTAAGCCCAGCTATGGACGGATATCTCTTTATCAGACGGTTTGTATCAAGGCAACCTGAAGTAGAGAGCTCATCTCTTAGCTAATTTATAGCAATGTCTGAGAAACTGGACCTTTTAAGAAAACTTATTTTGCACACTTACATCTGAGCTGTTATACCTACAGTACATGGAAAAACATGCAGGCACTGCTTTTGAGAAAGGTCTTCTTGTACATTTATACAACACTAGAAAATGTATTGTTTCTGTGAATTCTCAAGTGAGACATTGAGAATATTAACTCAATGCCAATAATACCACAAAAGTACAACGCCCACACATGCAGACAAACAAACACACAGTTCATATGTTTGCCTCATTATACACAATATAAAACTAAAAACAGTCCCTTCTTAGCAAGGTTTAAAGCAATATTTCAACATTCCCGGACATATGCTTGCGTAGCTTTTTTGCTGAGAGTTAGATAGATGAATCTACATCCATTAGCCGGCTAGCTTAGCTTAGAATAAAGACTGTAAACAGAGGAAAAACACTTAGGCTGACATTTTCCAAAGGTTCAAATCCAACTACCAGTGTTATCATCTGTCTCTTAAGCAAGTTAATGTATTCCTCAATATATTGAACAGTTTCTTTCAACGGAAAAATTATGACGAGGCTGCATAAAATAATTGATTATATCATAATTAATAATTTCTTAACACATCTTCTTATCTGAATCTATAGTCGGTTGACAAAGAAACTTTAGTTTGGTAGAAATCAATGATTTAGGCAATCAGTAAACTGTGGCCAGAGGAGTGGGAAGAAGACCACCGCTAACACTGATGTGTGCGTAAACAGTGCTCTTAGAGGAAACCTGATGATAACATGGAAAGCATTAGTGAAGGGAGAGATATGATAAAAAGGCTGTTTGGGAAACTGTGACATTTCGGGGAGGGATGGAAAGAGACCGTTTCTTCTATCTCCTGGTCATGTGTAAGTTATTCCCATTCCTCTGCCTCTGTGAACACGGATAATCATTGACAGACTCAAGAGGGAAATAGCCAAAAACACAGGGAATTCTCTGCTCACAGTAAGAGCCCGCCAGGGACAAGACAACAAACATGTCTCAACTCATTAAATCTCACATTAGTTTGTATCTTTAAAAAGATCCCGTGGGGTAGGATGATGATCCCTTTACTACCTCCACCAAGGATGTTTTCTGCTCAGTTTTGTTTGTCTGTATTAAGCAGGATTAGGTAAACCAAATTTCAGGAAAAGTTAGTAGAAGGGTGTAGCATGGGCAAAGGAAGTACCCATTACATGTTGCATGGGATCTGAATCAATAAACAAATTATCTTTGACTTTCCTAAATTGATAAATAGGGCATTTCTGCTGCATTCATGTGGTAGGAATAAGTGGAATAAGAGTTATTGACTTGTAAATGTACGTGAATGCCCCGTTAATCTGGAACAAGAGAGATATCTATCAATGTGTTAAAGCATTACGATAGAACACATCTTCGATGAAGCATCCATGTTTTTTTAATTCCAATTTAAAGCTCATGAACACGACAAAATCGGAAAAATCTACTTCCCAATTTGAATAATCCAAGGAGCCTGTGAATGCACCTTTGGCCTAGGCGGAGGTCTGTGCCCTTGAAGTGCCAATCTTTTCTTATATGTTTTCCACAAAGGCTGATCATGTGATACCAAGTGATAAACAAGTAAACGGCAGAAAATACAATATATTCGAGCACTATGTCTAGACCAAGATTCGTTTTGTTTCGGGCAACACAGGATATTGCTGTATACTTTTCAATAAAAATAATATAAAAAGAGAGAAAAACCACCAGATGCTCTGTGATATCTTTACAATATCTTTTAGACTTTGAGTTAGCCAGAGGATGTGATGTCATCGGGTCAGCAGTTCATTGTCTTTTATATCTCTTACGCTGACTAATCCCTTTGAATAAAGTAGCATGACGTTGTGTATCATTGATACCAGCATATGTTTACAGTTTCAATAATGGACATTCACCCCTCCTCTTAGAGAGCAGGTTTATTGTTTTAAATACAATTATTTTGCCATGACATTTACAAAAAGTAATCACCGGTGCATTCAGCTGTTTTTTTTTGTTACATTATAGATTGAAAAGAGATTGCTTCTATGTATAAATATGGAAAAAGTCACAGATGTGCATTCCTTTTCACATCTACTCCAAGAGTAGGGAGTGCTTCAATAATAATTCCTTTTTTTATTTAACGTGGATCATTATTAAGGCCTAATCATTGCGTGGTAATGAGCAAAATAGGTGAATACTTTGTAGTATACACAAGAACAAAGTACCAGTGAAATGTGAACATTTGTTTGGGACATAACACTTTAAGCGGATATATTGAAAACTTGAAGTTCCTTAGAAACAGTTGTATTGCTTAAAGGCAGCCATTGAAGGATTCTTACTGGGCTGAATTGCACACTCAATTAATAATTTTAGTTTTTTGTATCCTGACTTGTGAAGAAATTATGAATTGTAGGAAGGCCTGTTAAAAGTTCATTCGAATAATCAAGATGACTTTCATTATTTGTGTGAAGGAGTCAGTGGAGAGGTGACAGGAAATGAAGGGAAAGAGAGCTAGAGAACAATGTTCAACAAGTGTATATATATTTTAATATTGTCTGTAAATATCCATGGTTTTGTGGACAATGAATACAATTAAAATGTAATGTCATATAAAGGGGACATGGCAATGTTTCCATAGCCATATTGACTTCCTCAAGAGAATTAACAAGGTTGTCAACATGTTTTGGAGGCAGTTAAAACACTTTTTGTTATCAGTATATCGCATTGACACATTCAGTGTATGGTATTTGTTTTGGATAAGAGCCATAGCAGATGGAGAAGTGTCAAATAGCAGCCATACGCAGAAAAACAAATTCTCACTGAACTCCCCAAGAATAGAAAAGTCTGTCAAAAGCAATAAGTAGCAAACATTTTGTGTTTTTGAATATCTATTTAAAACTATGTTCCTCCAAGCCAAGTGCCCTTTAAACCTAAATAATAGAATACGAATTTTGGAGATGAAGTGATTTTTTTTTCTTCTAATGTTTTGCTCTAAAGTATCAAGTTGGAAATTAGCCTGAAGTTGTTGCTTGTTACTGGCAATGAGAGTGCTTTTATTAGGAAGAGGCCGCCTGAAGGCAGTGACTAAGCTGCTGGGAAAGACCCAGTTTTCAGGGTGAGACAGGCTAATGTGAAGAAAGTATTTTGTAACACAACCAAGACCTTAAGGAGGCTGGCAGGCACAGGGTCAAGGGTACAGGTAGCGTTAAATAGAAGGAGATACCACGGCACCGTGTTAAATAAATCAGCAGTGACTGCATTAAAACACTACAGTGCCCACAAGCAGACAGCATATAACTTACCCAGTGTAAGTTACCTTGTCTCTGGTTGAAAGACAACATGAGGGTTATCTTTGTCATACCTGCCAAGATTGCAAGATTGATCACATTATCGCACATTTCAGAATGTTCCTGGAGAATCTCACATGTTCCACATTACATAACCGCCATTTGGCTTTATTTTAAAGCTCCGTAGAATATGTACATTTCACATCTGTATCAACAAGAGCAGGATGTAATGAGAAACTGATTATTTGATAGTATTCTGCACATGGGGAAGGCTTGTTTTGTTTTCATTTGCAGGTCAGAGGCAGCCGTTCCTAGCCCTCCATTTCCATCTAGTGGTGAAGGAAGGAACTGCAGAAGAGTTTTAGTCTTTTAGTCTGCTTAAATCCCTTGACTCAAGCTTTCACTACACAACAGTTGCACAATGTTTAGACATAAATGCTGAATTAATGACGTCTTTTATAACCTAGCAAAGCTCCTGTCGAGTGCATGTAGATTCCAGCATACCTTTTATTTAACATCAAACATTTGCAAATCAAAGAACTAAATCCTAGAGGTATTGCCAGAGGGATTTTCTATTGGCTCGTGTTCAAATGCATTGTATGTGACTAAGGGGCGGGACATCTCTTAGCGGTTGACCAATCACAACGGAGCCGACCTGCTTACCAATCAGAGAAGACCGGGCTCTGGTTTCAGACAGAAGGTGAAAAGAGCTATGAGAAAAATAAAGAGCCTTTTGAACATAAAAGCAATACACATGTCACAGAAGAGGAACAAAATACTAATATGAACCAGAACATGAGCATAATATGTCCTCTTTAAACTTTCTTTCTTTTACATTTTTGTGGTATTTGCTGTCTACTACGGTGTCTTTTTTTGTTACTATGACCAATGTCAGAATTGTTTTAATCCAAACCAAAGTGTATCATGATAGCTCATGCAGTGAGCTTTTAATTTTAATTAGATTTATTTTTGTTTCGACAGCCAGTGCATCCTACCTCGGGGATCCTCGCTGTGTTCGTTGCTCTCAACTACTGTGATGTGGTCCACATTGCTGGTTTTGGATACCCTAACACAAAGAGCCTAAGGCACCCTATCCATTACTACGGATATGACACCATGAAGTCAATGAAGGTGGGTTAGCGGACATTTACAGTGCTTCAAAAATAATCTCAGTTTTACCATACTGTGTCATTACATACTGTTACACTCTCTGTTGCAGAATTCTTACCATGATCTCAATCATGAAGCTGATGCCTTAAAAAGACTGGAGGATTCGGGAGCCATTTTGTACCTGCACCCACATCTATGATACACATACCTTTTTCGAGTTTGATTCAATCCAAAAATGTGACCAAAACGTATTTGCATTTGGACGGGTCAACCCACTCAGATTCTAATGTGCCTTTTTTGCAGTGGGATACAAGACATTTTTTACATGTACTAAGTCATCATTGGGTGACAAAAGTGTAAAAATGTCGAGCTCGAAAGAATGTTTATATCCCTGGCGCCTTACATTTTCTCAAACTAAGACACATGAAATGTGACTTTATAATGGCTTTCCTTCAATTTGTCGAGTACTATCTCGAGGTGACATGGCTTAGCATCTTGCATTATGTTTTATGATTGTAATTCAACCGGGATTTGAATCACTTCATTCAAAGTGAGTACGCAGGAGAACTATTCAAAGGCGACCCAGTTGTCCTGTTTGTGCAAAGAGAAATTACGCCTGATTTAGATTGGATAATCACTGTGCTTTGATTTCGTTTTTTAAAACCATTTGATACTGTGGGCTTCTAATTTCCACATCATAGGAAACAAGCGTTTTCGATCTGCAGTTTACATATTTGTTGTTGTTTGCAAAGATGAATGCATATCAGTGAGTTCCAAACAAATCAGACCGGTTTATTTCTCATTGTACACACTCACTGTGGTTTAGGATTCACTTCTAACATACCAGCATCTGTTTTATGTTAAAGAGGTGTGTACAAATCTACAGCATTTCTTTGTGAACTTCACTTTTGTTGTACAAAATGAATTGACCCCAAGCCTGATTTAAACAGGATTTAATTCATCTTATTTTTTGTAATTCTTGGACTGGAAATACTACTTGTATTTTGCCAATTTGGTAGCTTTTTGATTGCAGGTGTCTGGGCTTTTTAAGTTATTTTATCCTTTTTTTTGTTGCTTTTTTGTAGAAACAAAACCAATAAATGGTACCACTGGATATTTGTATTGTACAGAATGAAATACATTTTAAATTAAAAAGAAATCAAAATTAATGTCACTTGATTCTCATTTAGAAAGGTTTCTGTTTGTGTCCTTTTATTTATGTGTACATAGATTATTGATCAGATCCACATATCCACTTTATGGTAATCACTGCACTTACATGAATTGACCTGAGGGAAGCTGCATTGTGCTGTTTTTCATTATCAGTGTACTCCAGTAGATGGCAGTGAGCCTCTATTGCATGCATATTATAAAGTAGGTAATCTACTGCACTGCACATGGTGCAGTCATGCAGCAGCCCATCTTAAAGTGCTTGGGGCAATGATAACAGAAAACCTAGCACTAGCATGTGTCGAGTAACACATGTACAGTATGAACATCTGGAAGACCATAAATTGCACAATGCTAATAATTGCGAATGACTAACATAAATGTGCTGCTAGCGACAGATGTTAACGATGGTTTGTACTCACGGCCTTCTATTAGCGTTGACATGAATGGAGTTATGCCCTTGGCATTTATAAACTAGGCTTACTTATGGTGGTACAACATAAGCAATGACATGGTCCAGTTCTTCAGCTTGGATCAGATTGACAGCAGCTTTCAATCATAGGGATGTACAGTATCATGTGCTGTAACACTACTACAACTTCCATACTGCTATTAATAACTAAAAAGTATTGTACATATTGATATTTTGGTTTGAATGTGTTCTTTTTTGAAAGATCTCAAGAGCTATTCACCTGAATGCAGCATTGAATCTTTAGAATAGTGATGCACTTCTTCTCCTCAAGGTCAGACTGTAAGCACTCTGCTGTCCACTTGTACTAGACAAAAGCACAACTCTGAAGGTGTTTTTATTCCTGTGATTGAATTATACTATGCTTCATCATCTCAGCTGTGTGTTCCCTTCTGCCTATATCTGTGTGTTTTGCCTGCATATTGCTGATATGGAGGGCAATCCCGTTTGCAGCAGGGTAGAGACCACAATCACACGCCTACTCTCGCATTCAGTTCACTAAAACTGTCAATTGTTGGTACTAACTGATTTTTTTTGCCACTGAAAGCCAATCTGACGAACACAACATCCCTTTCAACCCATTTAAAGCCTATCGTTTTAGTTGTGAGAGCTATCCATTATGTGTGAAGGGGGTTTTGTGTCATGCGGTGAAATTATCCTTTTTCATACCCTGTTCATGCGTGTTTAAAAAAGCACACATCTCCACATGTTTTGCCTCAGATGTATGAACACCTTACCTGAATTCTTCCTTAAAATATGGCCATTATATGTAAATTAGCTGTATTTGTTTTCCCAACAATACAGGGCAAGTGTTGAGGAAAGAGCCCAGTCGAGTCACGCTTTATGGGCTGCGTTCACTTCCCTTACACAACACTGAGTTACATAATTGAACAGGATTTGTGTGAAACTGCGGGCTGTTTATATGACAACTGAAAATCAGGTCAGACTTTTCAGGGGAGAATATATTGTACTGTATAAGCACACCTTTGAACCACCGTGCACAGTGTGCTTCAGTATGCAACAGAAGGAACATGTACATTGCTTTTACGGTACATTAAGTCTACGTACATATTTTTTGCCTGGCTATAGCTCCTCTGTGAATTATCCTCCTAACCTGATCACACTGTGGTGAACCAACTGAGCCCTACAAACCCTATTTATGCATCTTATGGTGCCCAGAGGAGCATTTGGCCACACCACACAATACGATTAATTTGAAATGCATTGCTTTGAACTTTCGGGCAGACCCCCAGCACGTGCATTTCAACCCTGAATGCACCGGTTGTACATTTACAAAGCCGGGATTTCATAGAAAAAGAAATGGCCCGTGATGATTGCTGTGCCACTGCGTAAGTGCAGTCTCATGCAGGCATATTCTCTGACAGTGTGATTGTTATTACAGTTTATCTCATTACACCATCTGCTCTCAGCCTGCAACATCTTACTTGCTTTCTAGATCCTCTGATACATCTCATGACGATATTGCAGACTCTGCAGTACTATACCTCACAAATGTTACATTTTATAACAAGTTGGAAATATAATTAAAATTGAGAAAAACATATTGTATGCAGGTGTGTGTTGTATTCAGGGGATCAGGAGCTGGAACACTTGCCAAGAGCCAAAAAAGAAACATTGCTGTTGTCTGCTTTCTATTTTTTGAATTGATGATATCGGGTACACAGCGATCCAATGAAGACACTTGAGGCGTCCTCTTTTTCTCATCATTGTTTAAAGAATGAAGACACACAATGTTGCTTTACGATGTGTCTGTGTAAGAAGCCCAGGGGACAGTTTGTGTGGGAAGAGGCAGAAGAGGTACAGTACTGGATGCAGCCAGCTACCTAGAGAGAGGGCATCTGGCTATGCTCACTGATAACTCCCCCACAGCCCAGAGAGCGGCCGTGAGTCAGGTGCTCATGAAAACACAACACTACCATGGGAACCCGAGAGTAGGAAATAGGAAGAGTGAGGGAGACAAAATAAATAGATAAGCTGCTTTTCTCCAGTGTGAGTTTTGCTAGTTCTGCTTTTCCTTCATAAAGCCCCTTTTCCTGACTCTCATGTAGGTACAGCCTCCATGTGACGTTTACCATCCATTCCTCCATACCCAGGGGCTTTGGGCTGAAACAGAAAAGCAGTGTGTAATGTACAGTTTTCTCCCGTAACTGCAAAGGACAACTGTCAAAAATAGCAACAGACTGAGAAAAAAAGGGTAGAAAAAAATAGAAATAGGCTAGTTCGCAACACTTTATGCTAAGCAGTGCCTTGTATCTGTTGCTCAGCCCAAAAGGTCAGCCAACTCAGCTGATTTAAAGGCTAACACGCCGTCATTGTTTCCTCACAGGCAGCCAAAGGGGATTTTTCTGTCCGCTCAGTGTTTGCCTTTTTTGCTGTTAACTCATTAAAAAAAGACGATGATATGATTTCCGAGTAAATGGGATAATTTAAATTAGATGGTAATTTGGATTTGAATGACAATCAGGTTTTGTAAAGGTTATGTTCATATTTATTCTAATACATGCTATAACAAGGTCATAAGGTAACTGAGAAGGAAATCACTTGAGGAATGAGGAGCTGTTTTAAATGAAAACATAGACAAATGGTGGCATAGAGGTTACAGCTCAAAGGAAAAAACAGAAGCTGATTTCCTCTCCATTTCTGATTGACCTCCAATTACAGCACAGACTACAAAGCCTTATGAGTATGTTTCTTGTGTGATTTAGGATGCACTGATTTGTTCTGGCTCCATGTGCGGATCTGCATGTTGTTCGTATCGCTAAGCCACATAAGAACGTTATCCCTCTCTACACATGGAGAGTGACTAGACAATCCTGTCCTCCTGCCTGTCGTGCCAGGGAGGGTGGAGTTCTTTTCCTGGCACCACTCTGTCTGTCAGTCTGTTGGTACATCTGTCGGCTTGTCCTCAAGGACTGGATGACTGGAGGCGTACCGTTCCTCTATAATACACAGCCCTGTATTTTATTTTGTGTATCCGGAGACAGCATAAGACTTGCTGCATGACCTGATGCTTTAGAAGCAACTTATAACTGCAGTGGTGTGGCTGTGTATATGAGAAGGGGGCCTTCAAGAAATTATTCGAGTATGATACTGTGGGAAAATAACTTTTTAGATTTAGTAATCAATGTATTGGTGTTGTTGATATGATTAACTGTGTTCAAATTGTTCAGAAATCAAGTCAACTGACAGGTAACAGTGACGGTTCATTATATGTACTGAGGAAGGGCTAAGATGAATGACTGGTTTAATCACCCATGACTGATGGTATACAAGGACCACTTTCCTGAGGGACTTCCTGAAGTTAAGTCCCTCAGGAAGAGCAGTTAAGTGTTAGTGTTTATGGAACATTTTGAGTTTATCCACAACAATCTGTGCACCCTTTGTGTTAGGGTTAGTGTGCATTCCCATTTAAGGGCTGGATACGGCAGAAAGTGATAGAGCAAAAATAATATATGTGAAAAAGGTGGTGATGTACTGACTATAGTTGCACTTCTAGCTAACCTCAAGTCAGTCACAATAGAACCCGGAGATGTTTCAACTCACGCTCTTAATAACGTAATTGCTATCACACAATTATTAGATTGCGTTGCTCTCTCTCCTCTCATTGTTTTGCCTTTATTCCTTCAGTGAAATTAATGATGGTTTTATAGTTCATGATGCAATCGGGCATACTTTGAGCCAATTGTATAGGGTATATTAATCCTGACTAACATTCAGACAGCATACAAAATGTCAACCCACTTAATAGCTGATTTACTTTTGGAAACAGCCTCTATCTTGTTTAAGTTATGTTTAAAAGGAGAAAAAAGCAATTTTGCTAATGGTAAGATAGCAAATAAATTAGCTTAGATCAGTTACTATTTTAAGAACATGTTAGCAAACGCGTATCAAAACAGGTTTTTCAAACGGGATATTTTAACCATCCACTCCTGTCTCATAACTGTCTGCAGACTATTCTTTAAGTATCAAGAACTGTCATCAGATTTTGATTTGAACGTTGCTTAATCTGGAATATCATGGAAAAAGCTAATTTCATGTTTTTCAACTCAGGCCTGCCAACAGTGAGAAGTAAAGGTATACAGAAACCTATTATATGAAATACCAAAACTGTTTAAAAAACTACAATAATGTATCATAGGCTGCTAATTGACAAAGTTAAGTGGCCGAATGATTGTGAGTGGGTGGCTCAGTTGACCACGCAGATCAAAGCGAAAACAAAACAGTATAATAAAATGAAATAAGGACACATCCATGGTACCCTCTCAACGGTGGTGTTACACAGTGTTGAAGTATAGCAGCCAGGAAAGTAAATAGTATACATTATGTATTGCACAGACTCTTGTTATTGCACATTTCATAGTATGTATCTTGTGTGGTGGTCTATCAGGGACAGTGGTGATAGTACAACATGACATTCATTCATGAACTACTTTGAGACAAATTCCTGATAATTCCTTTTTTTTAAAACTGCTTTTACTGTAAGCGAGTAAATCCAGTTCTGAGCTGATCAGAGAG